TGTACAGTTTTAGTGGGTGATAAATGGGCTATCTGTACAAAAAGTTGAGAATCACAAATATTATTAGGAAAACATGATATTTTGGAAGTTTTTAATATAGTTTAAAAAAACATCCCTGTCCAGGACACAATTTAAGGGTATGTTTAACTTGAAAATCCCATGAGACTTAATCACATGCTCAAATACTTTCCTGATGTGGGGCTTAAACCCTAATGGCACTGGTAGTTTTGCCTTAGTAAGAGCAAGCAAATTTGCTGGATGTAGCATTTTGTATAATTACTGTAAGTTCTTGCTTATTGTTTCTCCTTTTATCAAGCAATTGAAGAGATCGTTATTACCTCTAATGAAACCTTTTACTTGTTACACAGGTACTATTACTGATAAAACAATATCCATTTCTCCTATGTTGTGCTCCCACTATTCTAATGATGCCATTATTAGATATAATGCTAGTGTTCCTTAGCTGTTCTTGGCTTCTCAATGATTTCATGTAATTTATATTACATACTCTGTAATATAAATTCAGCAAGTGTTCTTATAAATGTCCAGTTTGGAGGGGGCCTTGGTTTTATTTTAATTTTCTAATAATGCTTTCCATGTGGTTGATCAAGCTGACACCCACAACTTAAATAGACTTAGTTACACATTGTACTTTGTACTGCTCAAATGTTGATTGGTGTTAGTGCTAGCTTGAGTTTGGAGAAGCCACACAAGGCTAAAAAACTTCTTTAACTATGCCCGACCTGCCCAGCTGTGACTTGTCACTAGAGGGCTGGTGAGTAGGGACCTGGCTAGGAGCTACAGATGTGTTGCCGTTACAGGGCTGATGAGCCAAGACAGGCTTTTATCCCTGCTCTAGATGGGGGTGCAGGGAGCAGGAACATGTAGCTGGGAGGCAGATAGTTAATGGGATGGGTATGGGTAATGAAATAGGAGGTGGAAAGGAAAAAGGGATGGGAAAAAGGTGGTGGAATGAAGGAAGTCAGCACTGAACAATAAAGTAAAAGAATTAAAACAAATAAATTTAAAGAAGGTGTCATGTTTTAATAAATTGGGATTTGGGATTGGGGTGTGGGAAGTACAGGTCATGCTTTCTGGGGCGGCTGGGAGGTGGGAACGGTAAGGGAAGACACTTTTGGGGAGTTACTGCCCCTGCCCCAGGAAGGAAGCCCCAGCTCATAGGGACTTGATCCAGCCCCCTACCTTGTTCCCCCTATCCTCTAGACCCTACTCCTGAACCCATCCATGCCCTGCAACCTGGCTAGCTGATATGTGATTTGCAGGCTGTTTATACGCAGTTGAACCCCTGGGGTTGGGAAGGTCATGCCCCCAGTTGGAAAGGAAGTTGTCTTGATGCTAGAACTGCCCCCTAGGCAGTAAAGTTCTGGGGGTGAAAATTTTGCCCATATAGAACAGGAGGGATGCTGGATGGACTGCAGTGTGGGTGGCTCATCCATGAGGAGTTGCCACACATTAATGGAACACAAGCTGGGTAACACGCATCAGAGATCAACCTGCCTTGGAGTGGCATAACTGTAAGCTGCCTGAAGTGTGCTTAAAACTAATCTGAGGTGTTAATGTGTTGATGTTTCAGGGCTTAAGAGCTCCAGGAGCCACCTAAAGAAATGTGTAACAAGGCCCTACTTTTTATTCCTTGAGGGAAGTGAGTTCTACTGAAGTAAATTACTTTACAGCATCATATTCTAGGTCAGTGTTTCTATTAAGGGGTAATTTCACATCAGAGTAGAAGGCCTTCACTTCATCCCTATTTCAAACTTGGGCTTTAAAGCTGCCTATACACATGCTGGTTTGCATACTAATTACAGTGTGTCAGAGCAGACTCAATTAATCGAGACTACTCTGCATTCTAATTAGAATGCTCCAGCGTGGCCTCGCCATCACATGTACAAGCCCCCACAGATTTAAATATGGCCATGGGGGCGCTTTATCTAAACCTCGTCGAATGAGGTTTAAATAAAGCGTACCGTGGCCTTTTTTAAACCTGCAGGGGCCTAATATATGTGACGGTGAGGCATTTTAATTAGAGCAGCTCTCCAGCAACTGCTCTAATTAAAATGCCTCCCAGGGCCCCCTCCCCTGCCCTCAAGCACATGTATAGGCAGCCTAAGTGTTTTGCACAGGCCCTCTGCACTTGAACAAATTTCACCGTACATGAACATTTATGCAGAATGATATCCAAAAGCTGAACTTGCTTGAATTTATTCTTACCACTATTTAAATACATTGTTAAGGCCTCTATGCATGTTTCCTTAAGTAGCATCTATTCCACATCTAAGAATATTACTTCCTTCATTGTTTGTCTTTAAGGACTTTTTGACAATTGAAATCTTGTTTCCAAAAAGCTAGGGTCACTGCCTTATTGTTTTTGCACTCTGCCTGTCCATTGGACATTGAACCCAATTATATCGCTTTTACTGAGTGACTCAGCTACAGTCCATTTGTGAATTATCTTTTATGCATTACTAAAGACTAAGACATGAATAGACTCCCCTCGTGTGTGTTCTAGAGCTAGGTGTTTCAAGAAACAATTACTTAAAGTGTTGAGAAACTGTTTCATTCAATTTGTCTCATTATGCCACCTGACCATTTTGTGTGGGGAGGTTTATATAATTATATCATATTGCTAGATTTTTATGCTTCTTTGATATTTCTCCACAGTGATTTCTTTTCTTTTGATCTAAAGGCTTCTAATATAGCCCACTGTAAGTACATTTTTATAATAGAATGGATATAAAAGATATGGCCTATGGCCCACGGGGCCACATCATCTGGCCCCTGGTGCTGGTCCTGGGTCCCAAATTGACTCATACGCTAGACCAGGGCTGGACTAGCCCCAGTCACAGGGCCTAGAGCATGCGCCTCATGCCGTGGCCACTCCAGGGCCTACATTGCACATGGCACCCATGCAGGGCCAGTCTAGGGCTGCCACCACATGCCAAAGCCAGTGCCTGTTGCACAAGCTCCGGTCAGTCCAGGACAATGCCACATGCAGCACCTGCTCTGACCAGTCTGGGACACAAGCCACACATGGCACCTGACCCAGCCAGACCAGGACAGGAGCCATAGGCAGCGAAGATCCTGGAGTGGTGGCACAAGAAGTGCAGTCATGAACTGGCCAGAGATGGTGCTGGATCCCCCACTTACCTGGTCCAGTGCTTGCTCTAGCCGGTCTGGGACTGTGCCACACAGGATGCCCACTCAAGCTGGTCCTGCATGGCACACAGTGCCTGCCCCAAACCAGCTGCAGCAGGCACCATGTACAGCTCACATCCTGGAATGGCCTGATCAGGCATCATGGATGCTGGACCCAGCATGGAGTTGGGGTGGGATATGGTATAGGCTTGATTTGGCCCACAGGGCTGGCCCTATGCTGTTCGTCTGCCCTGTGGTTCGGTCCTGTGCCACTCATATGGCCTGTGGGTCCAGATATGTTTGAGATACCTGCAATAGGATATTTGTATCCACTGAGGTCCAGTTAATTGGCCCTCCTGACTGAGAATTTTTATCTCAGTAGATTTGGTGGAATCTTTCAGTGTAGCAACACTCACCATTCTTATCAATATAGTATATCTTTCTTGTTCAGTTTATATCTAGGTATTACAGTATCTCACTGGATTTTGTCATTCCCCTGATTTTCTGTCATGCCTGTTTTGTGAAGGTCAGTAGATCATTCTAGTTCTCCTATTTCCCTTGTAAATTGCTTGCAAATCATACAGGCATTTATATTTTTTATTCTTAACTTTTAAAAAAAAAATTCAGAGCTCTTTTATTGTGGTGATTTATTTGTGTTACATTAACACCCAAAGACTACAGTTGTCCTTGGGACCCATTTGTGCCAGAAGGATGCAAAGAGTGAGGGTAGGTAGATTAGGGGCATGGGGGTGGAGGGACAGCAGGGGTAGCAGTATTTAAGTCCACATAGGGCACATCTACACGTGCAGCCAATGCACAGCAATAAACTTGGGCACATATTGCACTGGAGTTTATTGTTCCTGCGCCCAGGACCATAGAATGTTGAGCCGGGTCAGAGCTGCCCTGACTGACAAGTACTAACCTGCAGTGGAGTTAATTAGTTTACTCAGTTCTAACACCACTGCACATGCAGACACTGAGGCATTTACTGTGGAGTTAATTAGGCAACTCCACAGTAAACATCTTGTGTAGACTCACCCATAGTCAGATTTCAAGCACTGCAAATAACCTTATAGTTCTGAATTATTTTAAGAGTTTTTAAAAGGAATAAGCAAAATCATCAGTCTCTGGTTGCCCCCATCCTGGGCCACACTAATAGACTCATCTTTTATAGATGTTACAGGAGATGAGACGCTAGAGCCTGGATGTGACTGAGGAGAGGTTACTGACCATATGTATTATAAGGCTCTTCACATGTAAGCAAGCCAGCTCCATCTTCCATGCATTATGCATAGCTGGATGAATGGTGGGAGACTATGCTGTACCCTTTTAAGGGCTGTGATAACTTTTTCTGTCTCCACATGCAAAAGGGGAAAAAACCCTGAAGTGTGTGTCTGAGCCATAATGGTAACCCTATGGCTTTGTGCCTGTGCTTCATGCTTCGCTTGTGGCTGTGCATATTGATACAGTTCAGTTACTGGAAAACAGATCAACCCCTCCTGAGTGGAGGAACTCAGGAAAAATGCTTCACTTGTGGAGCCTGTCATCAAGGAAGTAGGGTGTGTACAGCACTAGGGAGGAGGCAGGTGCCATGTTCAAAGATTGTATTAATGGCAGCAGCATCTGGCCCTTAAATACCCATTTACACTGCTGACTAGAATACAGTAACTTCTGCAAGTGGTCCAAGGAGTTCAGTGAGAGTAAAAGTTACCCAGTAAAGGGATGAACCTATCTGCAGTCTGTTCCATACATAGAGTTGAAATGAAAATTTAATTAGGTAAATATTAATAACTGGCTATCTCCATTCACCAGCCCATAAGAGGTATTCAACAAAAAATGTAACCAACCTTAAGAGAAAATCTTTACTTCCTCTCATGAAAGTCCTTCTGGCACTTCTTAGTTCAGTGACATTCTGTACTGTCACAGATTCCAAAGGTTGCAGCAGAACACTTAATGTCTGTGATGTCATATTCAGTGACTGCTACTTAAGCCAACCTGTTGAAATAGTTAAAACACTGTTAGAGACACCCAGAACAAGAAATAACTGCAATATTGAGATACATTGAAATGGGTGAGTTATATAGTAGCAGTTGTTTTTTAATGGAGACCAAGGTAAGCATGTGTTTGATGTAATTTTCAGTGTGGTTTTAGACTTAATGCATGGAGAAAACTGATTAATCCTGTATGGTGAAAACTGATTTCCCTTTGCATCAAACACAAAAGCTCTTTACACACAGAAGAGCTTTAGAAGGAAAACGACGAGGATTCAGGTATACCTCCACAAGATTTTTATTTTGCTCCATGGAAAAAGTACTTTGTTTGGAATCTCATGAAATTATTTCTATGGTTAAGAAACCAGTTAATGTTCAGTCATTCTCTCCATTCTTGGGAAAGGGTAGAGATTTGCTAGTGCTTGTACTAACAGCTATGCCAGCTCTCTATTCATGAGTGCATGGGCTCTGGAGCCTGAAATATTCATTGCAGTGCCAGTTTTAAATTACACATCTAAAAATGGCCAGATTTCCATGTATTTGAAGAACATATGCATCAGCCTAATTTTTAATTGCTGCCTTTCCCCTAAATTATTTTCCCTATTTTCATGTTGCTATGCCTATTTAGATTGGATAACTGAAAGTACAAAAACATATTTTGTTTTAAGAAAGATATGTACTAACTGAAATATGCTAGATTAAAACCCTATTTAGTGTTTGGCACAGGCACTGCTGTAAGACAGTCAATGAAAATCACAAAGTATATTAAGACCCACAGTGTAGTTTTCAAGACAGAATTTTAGCATTCTCACAGGCTAGGGACAGAAATTACACATATATGGGTATAAGCGATTGGAAACCAGTTCAAATATGTAACACAACACAAGTTCAGTGCACATAAACTGCTTTCAAAAGGGTCAAAAACAGTTTAAGATAAACCTGGATGGATATAGTATCAGACTTAATTGATTTAGGTTAAATCGATTTATTGAACTTCTGTCCCAGATCCCCTCCAGATTCAAATTAACTCACAGTACCCCAGCATCCCAGGATGCTTTGCACCTCTCCCACAAATCCCCTGTCAAAGGGTCGGCAGGCTAACCTTGGCTCAAGCTGTCTGATCCCACTGAGCAAGAAGGTATGCTCTAGCGCTCCCCCAGCTTCTGGCCTGGGCCACTGCAGGCATGTGGCTGCATTTCTGGAATAAAAAGTGAGTGTCTGTTCACTTGCTTATTGGTTCAATCTACACAGTTTAGACTAACCTGAGAAGATTGGGTTGATTCAGCCACAGGTTCTTTGACTATTTGTACTTAGCCTCAAGGAGGAAGTGCCCCAAAAGTTGGAACAGTATTGTGGTTAATGAACTTAGTAAGGCCATTGAAATAACCGTTTTGCCAGTTTGATTAATGAATCAAAAACATTGTTGCAAGTAAACCTGAATATATTTTTCAGAATTTTCAATAGATCAACACCCTCCACAAAAAAAACTTAAAAGGGGTAAAAAGAGAAGAGAACCTAACATTTGACTAAACAAAAGGCTTTATTTGTCTCACAATGAATTGGGTTTTTTTGATATTTTTAATAAAAGCAAAGGCTAGATTCACAAGCAGACTAGCAGGTAGCCTCCATCCTGTTGCCCAGTTGCTAGATGACTTCGGAGGTGGAGAGTTCAAAGCAAATGCTTGTTCTAAATAGGTAGGGAAGGGATTATAATCTTGGTGTCTCACATCCCAGGTGGGTGCCCACCACTGGGCTGTAAAATGAGAGGTGAAAGCATCCTGTCCTGGCTGTCTTGCGAATAGCACTTAAGCCACTTTGTGACTAGCCTTAAAATCAGTACATTTCTTTTCAAAAATGGCAAAATGTGTCTTCTTTTTTCATTTGGGCAAAAATTTAAAAAAGATTAACCATAATTTGAAGTTTCAGTTTGCATAAATTCTTTGCTAAAATATCTCTCTATCCATAGGTTCAATTTGTGACACTGTCATAGACTGTAAATGTGCCCTTGCATGTGTGCCCCCTCTCTGCCTCAGTTTCTCATCTGTAAATTTTTTCTGTCTTATCTATTTAGATTTTAAACTCTGTAAGGCAAATATTGTCTCTTGACTCTGTATATCCACAGGATCCTGATCTCAGTCAGAGCCTACTTTGAGGCTAATTCAAATAAATAATAAATGGTACAACCAGAGCTATACACCAAGCAGTGAATAACAGTGTGCAATGTATTGTTGGCAAAAAGTAAAGGGTAGAAAAGAATTTGCATATGTTGACTGAGTGAAAAGCATATTGATTGTATGGCTGCCTAGCCAAAGTACGAGAAAAGCAATTTAATAATTTCTTTCCAAGCCACAGGCATCCCATTGACTAGGAAAAATTACCATAGTAAACAGTGTTCCCTTAGGAGAAACATGCATAGCCTTTAGAAAATGTGTGTATGTTTCTTTAACACTGGTCAGTGCAGCATGCCGTTTAGTGATTTTTTTTCTACATGCTCTTTCTGAGAATGCTTTGCAGTGTTAAGGAATATAATTTTAGACTTAAATAATAGATAAGAGTGGAATTAAAATGCAAAACAAAGCTGTAAAATATACTTTTCAAATAGGATTTGAAGAGATGGAGTATCATGAGGCATTCACAGAGATGTAGTATTGTTGTTTCCCGATGGTAGGAGCTAGAAGTAAAATGACTAATCTTGTTCATGTTGTGGTTAGATTTTGGTTAGGAACAATATGAAGCAGGACTAGATGAGAGCAAGAAGTTAGAAAGGCAGCAGAGGCGAGGTCACAATGTCAACATTATTTTGAAATTATGTATTCAGAATGTTATTACAATTGCTCTAATTTGTGTACCATAGATGGCTGGTCTGTCTGACATTAGAAGAAAAACGCAATAAGCAAAGTTCTATAGAAGTGTTGATATAATATCTCAACTATTTAATTTCAACAGTTACTGTGCAACCAGTGGAAAACATTCATAATCTTAAGTCAAATATTAACAAATGCTTTCTGATCCTCAACACCAAACTTAGGTTTCATGCTATAGTTTTCAACATTCAAGCTGTATTACTTTGGAATTCACTCCTGTTGTCAGTTTGATTTATTTCATGGCTTTAATCCTTTGGTATAAACAGAGTTAAAAACTCTATGCAAAGGTTTATAATATCTGTTTTTGAAAATAGCTGCAATATTGAGGCTTGTACAACTGCCTTATTTCTCTTGTTACCCCATGATATCCTTGGAGAGTAGAAGCTGTATCTCAATGGAAATTTCCTAGTACCACTATTTTAAATACATTTTATTTTTTTCAGCAATATTTCATCGGAAAACAAAGCAATCAGGAACAAATCCTGGCTCTGCCTGTGTAAGCAAACAAAGTAGGAGACTTCTGTCCTTGCAGCTTATGTACCAAGCTAGAACACAAATACCACAAGATTCATAGTACTGCTAGTGGTACTAGATGCCCCAAAAGAGGCATTTCTTGGCACTTGTACTGCTCTACTTTGGCACCTTGTTGGAAGTGTGAGCTTAGTGCTGGAATGGAGTACCTGGTGTTTGTTATAATAAAATAGAAGTTTCTCAGCATGCTTTTCCCCAGAAACCACAAGTATTCTTTCTGCCCCTATCCAATGGGAAATTGCACTTATGCAATGGATCTGTATGCCTAATTGCATAGAAGCTATATCTGCTGCAACCACAGTATGGGCTGGATCCTATTTCACTTTACATTCGTAAATGAACAAAGTAGGAGACTTCTATTCTTTATAGGTGTAAATGGTATGTGTGCAACCTCATAACTACACTTTTGGCACTTACTGCAGTAGAATTGCCCTTTTATATACCTGCTGGAAGAAAAAATGGCAGTGGAGAAGAAAAAAGAACTCTAACATGTTTTGACCCAATACCATAGTGGTTTGAGCATTTGCTTACGAAGTAGGAAACCTAGATTCTTATCCCTCCTCTTGTAACCAAGGGCCTGATTAATGCCTAATTTGGTGCTTACAGCTTTTTGTTGGGAAGCAGAAAATGCAAGTTCAAATTATCCCTGGATGAGGGGGCCTCTGACATGGGTCTCCTTCTCCCTAGGCAAGTGCTCAAGCCACTAGGTCACTGAGCTAAAACACAGGAGGGTCCTCTTCCTCCAGCGCCATTTTGCTTCTGGCAGGCATGCACACAGATTGATTCAGTTTCAACCTAGGGTTTGCAACTGCAGTTACACTGCTGTATACATGCACTTAGGTGTGTAAAGGTAAATGGGATTTAGCCCTATATTTAAAAAAAATATAGACTACAAAGAATCCTTGCCACATACTGCACTAGTATATGTATGATTTAATTTCTGGGATTTTCCTTGTGTCATTTTACATAGGTTCATAAACAGATGCTGCCTTAAATAAATCAGGACCTCTTTATTGCCCTGCCTTGTCTTCAATTGGGATTTGAACTACTCTGTGTAATGGCTTAGAGCCAATAATCCAAGTGCCATTTCAAGTCCATAAAGAAATTCCCCATCTCTATTTATGCTTCTACAATGTGGTATCCTGCTATTGGGCCATCAAACATCCATGAAATAAAAATCAATCTTGATTACAACTGACTTGAATGGAAATCTTACAAGTGACCTATGATGGAGGCACAAAACCCAGGTAAATAGGCAGAATGTTTGTATATATCATGATGACTCCTTAAAACATCTCTGAATATTGTATCTTCAAACAGACATTATCCTGTTTCTGGTTCCCAGGGTAATAGGATTTTTGGAAATTGATTCTGTGCCTAAATGCTATAAACTAAGAGGTGTTTTATCAATGAATGGCTGTCCATTCTAGGTATTAAGAAAATAACAAACACAAATTGGTTGTCTCTTAATGGTGATCGAGAAGTGATGTAGTATGGTCTTTAGTTTGATAAAGTTT